GTTTTGGCGCCTTAGGAGAAAAAAGTTGATTTCAGGCTGGTAAGTGTCGCTTCCCACACAAGGGCCGATCCCGAAACTGCGGTGGGGAGCCCCACCCCGCCGCCACCCTCACACCAGCCCCAGACCGTGGTCTGCTCAGCACCAGGAGCTTTGCTGCAGGCCCTCAGCACAACCATCCTGCTGCTTCACGGGTCCCGGCTGAATTCCAGGGCACAGGTGTGGGGTGCACTCTGCCAGCAGCAGGGCTGCCTTGAGGGAGCTGTGCAGAGAACACTTGGGATGGCTTAAGGAGAGCACTGGGTCACATAAGAGTCTGGTGCTTTGTGGGAAAGATCTGATGGAGCCAGGCGTCAGGGAGTTCATTAGATCACATAAAGTTGCGAGGAAGTACAAGTCCCTCCTGGCCCTTGGTGTGCAGCTGGCCAGACCAAGTCGTTCTGGAGCCTGAGGGGCCTGCTGAAATCCAGTTAGAGGGCTTTGGAGATTAGATTTGTGGGAGCAAAGAGCAACGAAATTCAATTTACATAGGCAGAAACATTTCTGAGCTGCTTGAAAATCAGGCTCAGTGTAGGTACATCAGGCGCAGTGACCATGCCATTATGGTTCATAACGGCAAGGTTTGGTTCTAACCCAAACAGCAGCATTTGTGAACTCTAGACACAAGATCCTGCTTCACACGGAGTGAGTGACCAGGAGACTGGCTGCTGTTGTGCCTTCAGCAGAGCAGAGTTTGGTTGCCGATGCAGAGCGAGGCGTAGGATGGCTGCCGCGGCTCTTCTCAGTGCCTCTCCCTTGGCAGGAGTTGGGCAGCTTGCTTGCAGACAGATATGATCCATTGGCACACTCACGCTGGCTGGTTCCTGGCCTGCGAGAACTGCAGGTGGCTGCGGTACCTGTCCACAGCTCTTCCACCCATGGCTCATTGGGGTGAGCTCTGGCAGCCTGTGGGACTGGACAGAGCTGCTTTGCTGGCCACGTCCGGCACCACCAGGTGCTTTGCTCCAGCGTTTCTGGGAGCCCTCTGGTCTGGTGTGGGGCTGAGATCACCCTGGACATGCTGGGGGAGCTGCTGACAACCATCTTCAGCTGCTGCCATAGGATGACCATGCTCTGTATTTCCTTCAAGCTCTTCTAGGGGAGGTTTTGCACATGGAAGGTGAAGTATCCTTCCTCCACTGTCCCCCTTGCCTGCTGTCCCTCTGGCAGAGGGACAACAGGCCAGCTCTGAGCTGTTACTAAACCCTGAAGCTCCCTTGTGGTGAGCTCTTGATGGAGGCAGCCCACCCCTTGCCCCATCCCCAGATCGGACCGCTGGGAGGTTGGTGTGCAGGAGCCAAGTTCCCTGCTGGGCTGTTTGCTGTGGCACTGGGAGGGACCATGCCAAAAGGGCGCTGGAGCCTCCTTTCAAAGCAAACAACTCAAGGAAATGCAAGCTGCCACTCCACATCCCTGGGCGCTGTGGGGCATTGCTCTGCCTTTTCTTGAGCACTCTTGGGGTGAGGATTGCTTCTCCTCTTGTGCCCTCACTTAGCTGTTCCCCTCTGTTTCATTGCCACAAGCTGTGGCTGACAAGAAGGTGTCTGTGCTGCCGGTTTCTTCCACCCCTGCTTACCCTTGAGTCACTTCCTTCCTGAGTTTGTACAATCGTGCAGCCCAGCTGCTGGTGCAGGGCAGATGTAGCACAGTGACCCACAGCATGCCAGGGGCTCGGACCTGGGGCTGGCCCTGCACAAGGCCACCTGTGATGGCCCCATCCCACCTGCCTGTCCAGCCAAGGCCTCCTGCAGCATGGGGAGCTGGGTGCCCATGGACTGTGTCTAGGATTTGGGGCTGAATTGCATCCGCAGTGGAGGAAAATGTTATGAAAGTGTTTCTCAAGAGCCAATAAATGATGTTCAAACCCCCTGGTTTCAGAAAGCCTTTTGCCCAACTCTTTAAAGCAGGGTGGTTTAATGTATTTCCAAAGGGAGACGGGAGATTGTGTGTGTGTTGGCACCAGGCAGGGGGAATGCAGTCCCTGGAGGTTGGCTGATCCCAGCAATCAGTATTTCAGTACTTAGTGCTTGCTATGATGTAAATTTTTGGTCTATCTAGAAGCTTTCCCACCCTGTCCTACAGCACTGGGCATTTACTCCAGCAGCTGAAGTTGGGAGATCCAAGAACCTGATATTATTCCTTTTCTGAGGCTGGCTTATCTCTGGAGAAAGGTGGGAGTGTCCCCATTTCACAGGTGGGAAACTGAGGTGATGAGCCCCAGGCGATGCAGTAAGTTGTCTGTGGAGCCAGGATTAGAGCAGGAATTCCTGTCTCCCAGCTTCATGTCCTCCCTCTTAGAGCCCCTCCCTGGAGTAAGCAATCAGCCTGGAATGAGTAGGTGGCATGAACATCTTTACTACAGCAGGAAGAGCTTCACACCAAGCAAGGCTTGGCCTCAAGAGATGATTGGTTATGCAGAAGTCCTGAGGACAGGCCTGCAAGCCAAGAACTCTTGTGCAGGCATAGAGTGACCTGTGGCTTTAGGATCTCCTGCCCCTGCTTTGATTCTCCCATCATAAATACAAGTCACTGAGAGGTCCAGGTGAAAAGTCTTCATGTTCTTGGTTGGGACTTTGTTCAGCAGCCAGAGTGGTTGGTTCATCTGCTTCCTCTGGCAGTCAGAGGCTCTAGCGCTTTGTTCCACCAGCCAGTAGACAAGTCTTGTTTTCCTTGCCTGGGCTTGCTTGTGTAAACGGACAGAGGGTGTCTTCTCACTCAGCTCCTGGCAAGGCTAGGCTGCAGCTGGACATCCTTGCTTCATAACTCATGGTACCGATTCTGTGTGTCCTGCAGGTGGTGGCGGAAACAGGAAAGGGAAGAGTAAGAAATGGCGCCAGATGCTGCAGTTCCCCCACATCAGCCTCTGCGAGGACCTTCGACAAACCCTTGGTGAGACAGATGGGCTGGTGGGAGCGGTGCCAGTGGGTGCCATGTGTGGGGTGTTGTGCACCCGAAGTTGAGTCCCGTGGGGATCAGGGATGTGTTGGCCAAATCCCAGCCAGGATCACTTGGAGCTGAGAGGGTAGGGAAGAAATGATGGGAGGGTACATCACAGCTGCGCAGCGCTTTCTGGGTGGTGCCTGTTGATGTACGAACACACCTTGTAGTCTGTGATGAGCTTCACTAGAGATACACCACCTTCTCTGTGCAAACAGACCTGCTTGGTGTTGCAGTTCTGGAGTGGCACTCTGGGGTGCCTTTGCATAAATAACACAGGTCCTGCTGATGTCCTCTGGACTCCCAGGCTGGGATTCAGTCCTGCTGCGCAGTCCTTGACTTCTAACACTAATGCAGCAGCTTTCCTCATGCAAAAATGGGTTCTTGTTGTGCAGTATGGATGAGAATTGTAGGGGTGGGCAGGGCTTGGCCTGTCATTTTAATACTGCACTTTGTACTCTTCATGATTTTAATGTTGTTTGTGCAGCAGGCTTGGTCCTGAGATCATGTGAAATGGTTTTGGGGCACAGAGGGTGGGAATGCTCTGCTTCCTGAGGAGAGCTTGTTTAAGTTGTCGCTCCAGATTCAGCTGCTAGCTGGAGAGTGGCACATCCACACTGTAACCCACAAGTTCACAACAGCCCAGTGTGCACTGTGCATCACCTCTCAGGGCTGGCTTTACAGCCAAGTATAGTCAGATGGAGACTCTCACCTTAGTTTTGCTGCAGACTGCCTCTCTGGAGCAAGTTGTGACACAGCTCTGGCCTGGGCTCTCCTTGCAGCTCCCGTCTTGGCTGTCCAAACACCTATCTGCTTCTTTGATTTGTGTGCCCTCAGCAGAGCTTTCCTCAGCTAATGTTCATCCTCTGCCTACAGCCACCCTTCCTATGGGTATCATGACATGTTTTCCAGCACTGAACTTCATCTTCATTGTGCTGCCCACTTGTCAGTGGTACGTGCTGGTGGTCTGTCTGTTCCTGCTGTTCCACTATCCAGGACAGTGACCTTGTGAAGCTTTGGGAGGCAAGTCTCTCCCAGCTGCTGGCTGTCCTGACCCATGTCCCCACTTCCCTTTGGGAAGGCACATGAGAAATGCTTCTGGCCCAGGTCGCAGCCACCTCAATTCATTTCCCTGTGGGAGAGATGACCCCATTCCTCGTGCTTGGGTCACTCTTTGGATGGAATGGCTTTATTTGCCTTTCTAGTAGGCTGTGAGGGAAATTTCTTTCCTACTGCAGAGGCTTGGCAGGACTGTGGGCATGGTGGGCTGGTTGCCCACTGCAGAATTAAGCTTTGTGTGCCCTGACCACAGGGTTTAACCTTGTGTGAGCCTGGGCAGCTGAAAGCTTCTGATCCTGCTGGCAGCAAACTCTTGTCCTCCAATGGAGGGAAGGGAAGGGAAGGGAACTCCTTCCCCTGCGGACACAAGAAAACCGGCCAGTGCTGCGGAGCTGGCGAGGCGGCCTCCTCCCCCACCACAGCTCTGCGCTCTCCTGCACCCTCAGGAAGCTGCAGCTTCCTTGGGATAAACTGCTGCACGGGGAGGGGAAGGCCAGAGGTGCCAGGCACCAGAGAGTGCTGAAAGATCCCTGCCCTGATGGATGGCTGCACATCTGCACCCCAGGCAGCCCTCAGTGACGGCGGCTGTCACAGAAATCTGTTCTGGCACATGATCAGACGTCTTATGAGTGGAAGGGGAGGAAAAAAAGCAGAGAAGTGGAAGTGCTTTTGATAGTCAAAAGGGTTTGTGCCTGGGCTGCCAGACTTCAGAGAGGGGTAGGAGGAACCAGCAGGGGAGCTGAGCTCCAGAGGGCAATAGGAGTTAATGTACAAGCACATGGCTGTCCCATGGACTGGGGTGGTCTAATTGCTGTGTGCAGCATTAACAGGACATCTGTAGAAATGATGCCTCCCATTTTGATGCTGCTGCTTCCAGCTGGGCCTTCAGGAATATGAGTGGTTTGTAAGAGTCATCAGAGCAACTCTTGGCCTGGAAGATCTGCCTCAAAATAAGTTTGATGTGTTCCAAGGCAAGTTGTGTCTCTGGAGTAGTCCATTGATTTATGTGTGGAGAGGACTGAGAAGAGAGTCTTCAGACAAGCAGGAGACACAAAAGGTCTCTTGCTAGGAACAAGAGGGCCAGGCTGTACAGAACAGTAGGTCAAGCACCTTTTGAGGAAGAAGATCTTCATATAGGAACATAAAAGCTCAGTCACGCTTCTTGTCCCCATCGGGTGCATTTCAGTCTCCTGGGAGTTTTGGGCTGGTGGGACCTGTGAGCAGTCAGCTAATGGATCACAAGACCCTCCACTGCTGCCTGTGGCCAGGTGGTGGGCTGTGGCTGCTCCTTTGGGGGTTGACAGTGAGTGGTCTTCTCCATGTTTGCAGAGCGGGACTACCACAGCCTTTGTGAGAAGCAGCCCATTGGGCACGTGCTTTTTCGGCAGTTCTGCGAGACACGGCCTGAGCTGTTGCGCTGCGTCAAGTTCCTGGATGCCGTGGTAAGAGCAGAGCCCGTCAGGCTCCACTGGGGGAGGCAGGGATGTTCTTGGTGCCCTGGGCATTTGAGTTGGTTGCTTTGAGTGCTCTGGCAGTTGCCAGGTACTTCTGGGCATTTAAGGTTTTCCTGAAGGAAAAACCCATGAGTTGTAGTTTCTCCAAGATAGGGCTGGTCCTTTGCTTAGGGAGCTATTTGCTGGAGATCTGGTTTTCCAGGAAAGCATGGGAAACCTTGGGCAGAGGGTGTTGCTGCTCTGCAGCTGTTGCCTGGTTGCTGTGGCTCCTGGCTGGACCTGCTCCTCATGCTGTTTGCTCTGTGCAGGCAGGGTACGAAGTGGCTCCAGATGAGAAGCGGAAGGAATGTGGGCAGCACCTGATTGAAAAGTACTTGAAGCCAAACGTGAGTAGGAGGGTTGTTTGCTGACTGCAGTGGTCGAGCAGCTGTCATTACCCATGTCCTGCCACAGCAAACGTGCTGGGCAGGACAGTGAGGGCAGAGTAGAGAGCCACCCTGCCACCTCACAAGCAACCATGCTGCTTTTGACAGTGGCCCTAAAGCCACCCACCCGTGGGCTTCTCCTTCCTGGCAGGACCCATGGGCTCTGCTCTCTTTGACTCCATCCCTTTGTCCCCAGAGTGAGGACCATGTGCCTGAAGTTCCCTCACAGCTGGTGGATGCCTGTTGTGAGAGGCTGGAGCAGGAACCTTCCAAGGAGCTCTTCAAGGAATCCACTAAGTAAGTTGGAGGGTTGGGGCTTCCCTGCAGGTTGCACGGGCTGGACACTGCAGCTAACTCACCTCATCCCTTATGGTCCCTTCCTCCAGGAGAATGAGGGCTGGTGCTATAGCTGGGGCTTGGAGAGTTTTGGGCTAGCACAGCTAGAGGAAAGCAAGTGCAGGGAGCTCCTGTGGGCTCTGGGAGCCACAACCTGCTGCGGAAACCTGTCACTCCTCTCAGACTGCCATGGGACTGAGTTGCCATTTGGGAGGACCCTGTTTCACTGAGCCTCAGCATCTGGCCACGCTGTGTTGTGCCAGGATCTCATAGGCACCCGTAGAGCAGAGCTGACAGCCACAGCCCTGCTGCCAGCTGTCCTTTCCCACTGGTTGCAGATGTGGCTGTTGTGGTGAGGTGATGCTGGCTGTTGCTGCAGGGGATCTAAGGTCACTTCTGTTCCCATCGCAGAGGCAGTGGCAGAGGTCCTGGCTCCGGGTGCAAAGCGGAAGCTATTGGGCAAACCGGGCTTACGGCTTCCACCCCTCCCTGAACAGTAGCTGGAGCATGTTGCCCAATTGAGCGCAGGGCTGTGGCAATGGATTTGCTGCAGTCTTCTGGGGAGCGTTAGCTCTGTGTGTGGTAACTAGTGTCACTGTCTGAATGCAGAGCCTCCGGGCTGGGCCCTGCCTGCTCTTGGCAAGCTCTGAAAGGGGAAGAGCCCATCCGCTTCTTCTTGATGCATGTCTCCAGTCTAGACACTGTGTCTAAAGCTCTTCACTCCACTGGGCAGCCCTGGCACTGCTCTCCAAGGCAGTTAGCTCACCCGAGCTGGATCCCCTGTGGCCTTTTATGCTGGATATTCATCTGAAAGTGAACTCAACACCTAGTGCTGAACGTTACCAGCGGCTTTCAGCAGCTGATTACAGCCTTGTGTGCATTTGCCCTGTGAGCAGAGGGGCAACTGCAAAGAGTCTCATCATCCTGCTTTGTCCCACAGACTAGGCTGGTGCTGATAGGCTACAATTAGCAGCGCCAGCCCAGTCCCAGGGTGTGTGTTTATCACAGCAGTATCTCCAACATGCCTTCCTTTTGCATCAGGGTTAGCATGGAGGGGGCTTTCTGGACGAGGGCTACATGGGTGATTCAGCACTAGGCTGAGTGAGGGGATGGCAAAGTAAATGTGCCGTCAGGGCTGCTCACCTCATCTTTCCTTGGACCGCTGCGATCAGCCCTTAGGAACTTGCTGGCTCTGCTCTCTCCTAGGCTTATCCACGACTACCTGAGTGTGGCTCCCTTTGCTGACTACCTCGACAGCTTGTATTTCAGTCGCTTCCTGCAGTGGAAATGGCTGGAACGGTAACACTTCCCAGCATCACTGGGAGACCTGCACCCTCCTTGCACAGGCTGCCTGAGGGGTCCCTTGGGTTTCTTCCTGTGCTGGGTTCTGGCAGGAGTCAAGGGCCTGGCCTTTGTCTGCTCTTGCTCTCCTTCAGGGCCCTTTACTGGCACCATTAGCAGACCCAGCCTTGCTTGCCTTGTGGGGAAGCAAAGTCTGCTTGAGCAGGGGTTTTGGGGTGAGCCACAGTCTCTCAGGCCAGGGCATGGGGGTGGTTTGGGCTTCAGCCTCTGCTCCCATCTCGCTTCAGTTTCCTTTCCTTCACAGGCAGCCAGTGACCAAAAACACTTTCCGGCAGTACCGTGTGCTGGGCAAGGGCGGTTTTGGGGAGGTGAGTGACCACCATTTCCTCTACATTCCAGGTACCAGGCAGCCACAAGCTGCTCCAGCACCTGGAGGCAGGTTCTGCTGGCTGGGTGGGCTCTGGGGGCTCTGTGCTGGGCCCTGCTGTGTGCTGGGCATCGAGAACTGCTACAGTCAGGCTTCCTTCTGTTTCTGGAATAGCTTTCTGTCCTCCCAGGCATGGTGCTGCTACAGGTAGCAGGGGCATCACAGCCCTCTGCTGCTTATCTGTGGCAGGAGATGTCACTGCTCCCTGTGTCCTTGCTTTGACAACAGGCTTCTTGCTAACCTCAGTCTGAGGTGGGGACAGGGACATCTTTGCCTTCCTGTGCGTCTTCCAAAGAGAACCTAGACCCCCACCCTGGAAATGGCAGTGGAAGGGTGCTGAGCCTTGTCCTCCCTCCAGGTTTGTGCCTGCCAAGTGCGTGCCACGGGGAAGATGTATGCCTGCAAGAAGCTGGAGAAGAAACGGATCAAAAAGCGGAAAGGAGAGGCCATGGCCCTGAATGAGAAACAGATCCTGGAAAAAGTGAACAGTAGGTTTGTAGTAAGTACATAGGAATTGCTCTCACTTTGCTGCGGTGGTTGATTCTTCCTCCAACCAGCCAGCCTGGCACCTCTGTGCTCCTCACCTGATGTGGAGAGGCAGGAGCAGACCATGCCCATGTGGTAGGGTCCTGGTGGCTGCAGATCTCTCACAAGGCTGGGGTCTGGCAGGAACTCCTGCTACCTTTGTAAATGCCCCCACAGTCAGGTCCAAACATCCATCTGGTCTCACAGGCACCTTCTTAGCCTCTGGGGCACAATAAAACAGTGAGATCTGTCTCTCCAGACAGCCAAGTGGGCAGAATCCTGTCCCTGAGCTGTGGGGAGCTCTCCCTGTTCACACTGAGGCGCAGACAGCCTGAAACCTCCCTTTGTGGACGATTCATCAGACACTGCCCCAGGGTTGCTGTTGAGTGCTGCTTGCCCCCACAGGGGAGTAGTTCTGGATCAGGGAAACAGTGTCCTGGGGACAGCTGGGGCTGTGCTGGGACTGATGGTTTGCACGGTTTCCCCTCTGCTTCCTCTGCTGGCAAAGGTCTAGTCCTGCTGCCTGTGAGTGGCTGCTGGGTTATGACAAAGTGCCCATCAAAGTGTGGGCACCTCGCTCTTCCAGCTGTGTCTTCTAACAGCTTTTCTGCCCTGAATTGCAGGTGAGCTTAGCCTATGCATATGAAACTAAAGATGCTCTCTGCCTAGTGCTGACCCTCATGAATGGAGGGGACCTCAAGTTCCATATCTACCACATGGGAGAGGCTGGCTTCGAGGAGCCCCGGGCAGCTTTCTATGCTGCTGAGATCTGCTGTGGCCTCGAGGATTTGCACCAGGAGAGGATAGTGTACAGGTGAGTGCTGCGTGGCCCCTACTGGGAGACCCTGTATGGGCTGCAGAAGCAAGAGGGTTCCTGTTGCTCTTACGAGCCTAGCTGGGTCTGTTTGCTGAAGAAAATAAGGTCAGGCTTGAAAGCAACACAGAACTGAGTGAGAAGGGATCAGGAACAGAAAGCTGATCTCATGGGAGAAGAGGGAGAGCTTAGCTTGGCTTGGCTTCCTCATGCTGGTAAATGATCGCCAAGAACAGGATGTGATCATGCTGTGAATGCCTCAGGGCAGGCACTTGGGCGCTTAACTGCTGGGCACTATTGACACTAGAACAAAGGAGGGTAGGCTGCCCCGATACGGGCAGGAGGGAGAACAAGCTGTAATGACTGTACTGACCGGGTTGTATGATCCCATTAGGGACAGCATAGCTAAACACGGGCTGGAAAGTCCCTTCTAGTCCTACCCTCTGCCTTGCCCTGGGGCAGGACAAGCAGAAGCAGCTGCTGCTCCTTTCTTGCACGAGCTGCCCCATAGTGAGTTCTACACCTGCAAAGAGGGAATTGGTCACAGGCTCACAGCTTCCTTGCGAAGGGTTGAAGGTTGTCCTGGCCTGCCTGTTTCCGCTCAGGAAGGGAGGAGAGCTTGCTTGGCTAACTCTAGGACAGAGGATGAGGGGAAGGTTATCTTTATGCCCCAGGGAGAGGTATTGCATCCATCTGATGCTTACCTGTGAATTCTTGAGATGTTGCTGTAGCTTGTGTCCTTTGCTTTGACAACAGCCTTCTTGCTAATCAAGTCCCTTCCTTCCCAGGGACCTGAAGCCAGAGAACATACTGCTGGATGACCACGGTGAGTGCAGGATCAAGAGAAGCCCTGGACCCAAGTCCTTTTCTCTTCTGCTTGAACCAGGGTTTCTCTGTGTTCTTGGCAGCTTTAAACATTGCCTCTTGACTTTGTCCTGTTAACTTGGCACCTCCTCTGTGCAGGTCACATCCGTATTTCAGACCTGGGGCTAGCTGTGCATGTGCCAGAGGGCCAAACAATCAAGGGCCGGGTGGGGACAGTTGGCTACATGGGTAAGTGGCCCTGGTTTAATCAAAAAGAGGTCTCTGACTGCACACATGCTTTCCCGGCCCTCACACGTCCCTCACCCCTGCTCCCATGTAGCTCCAGAGGTGGTGAAGAATGAGCGCTACACATTCAGCCCAGACTGGTGGGCTCTGGGCTGCCTGGTGTACGAGATGATCGAGGGACAGTCCCCCTTCCAGCAGCGCAAGAAGAAGATCAAACGGGAGGAGGTGGAGCGGTTGGTGAAGGAAGTGCAGGAGGAGTACTCGGAGAAGTTCTCGCCCTGTGCCCGCTCCCTCTGCACCATGGTACGAGTGGGCATCCCTGTCCATTTGCTCCTACTGCCTGTTTGCACATAGCAGGAGAACACTGAGGCTGCTCCCTGTAGAGGTGTGGTGGAGCCAGGTTCCCTTGTTTCTGATAAGGCAGCACAGGAGGGTCCAGAGTGCTTCAGTTCCTCACTCTCCCAGCTACCTCGTGGGCCCATGTTGTCCCTAGAGACACACTGCAGGAGCCCAGATGAACTCAGGGCTGTTTCTGCCTGAAGCGCCTTCCACCCAGGGCACTGATTTCCTTTGTGTTGCAGCTCCTGTGCAAAGATCCTCTGGAGCGCCTGGGCTGCCGAGGAGCTGGTGCCAAAGAAGTGAAGGAGCACCCTCTCTTCAAACACCTCAACTTCAAGAGGCTGGAAGCAGGCATGCTGGACCCCCCCTTCAAGCCAGATGTAAGTGCCTGTCTGTATCCTGGCCTCTTCAGTCACTGGGAAGCAAGAGCCCTGGTGTGGCTCAACTGAGGAGAAGGGGCCCATCCCCTTCCCTCTTATTACTGGAGCACGGCAGAACAGGGGTCAAGCAAGCTCTGAGCTGCAGGGAGAGGGGGCCTAGGCTTGCCCATGAGCCATCGTGGTTTGTGGTGGTGGCATCATCGTGGAGCCTGGCATTAGAGTAATCTTTGCTGTTTAGCCTCAGGCCATCTACTGCAAGGATGTTCTGGACATTGAGCAGTTCTCCACGGTGAAAGGGGTGGAACTGGAGCCCACAGACAATGACTTCTACCAGAAGTTTGCCACAGGAAGTGTGCCCATTCCTTGGCAGAATGAGGTAGGTTTGCAGGACAAGTCTTTGCTCCTGCTTGTGCCCACCATGGCAGAGTGCAGTGTCCCGCAGGGTTCGTGTCTGCTCTGCTGCTCACTGAGCTCTTGGTGACAAATTGCTACAGTCATCTTTGCTCTCTTCCAGATGATCGAGACGGAGTGTTTTAAGGAGCTAAATGTCTTTAGTACAGATGGGACAGTGCCTCCAGATCTGGACTGGAAAGGGCAGCCTTCTCCACAGCCCAAAAAAGGGTTACTCCAGCGCTTATTCAGCAGACAGGTAAGAGTGCCCAGTGCTTCCTCCCCAGCAAGTCGTCTAGCAGGAGTGAGCCTGCTCCTGCCTGTGCCAGGCAGATCTGGCAGAGAGGTGGGCACGAGAGGGCAGCAGGCAGTCAGTGGGTGACCAGACCCCAGTGCTTTCAGGCACCCGTGCAAAGCTGCAGGGAGTGCACTCTTCATGGTGGGGCAGTCAAGGGAACTGTGGTGGCATGTCCTGGCTAAACGTGCTGGAGCCACACAATCTGAGGGATGTTGAAGGCACTAGAATTGCAAGTCTTCTCCCTTCCTGTGCACATAAAACATCCCTGAAGAAGATCTTGCTCTTGGAATGGGCTATCTGGGCTCCCCAGAGCGTTTCTGCCAGACCTTGAGCCAGGCAGAGAGTGCAGTTCTTTCAAGGCATGAGGAGAACGGAAATGTCTCGCAGCTGCTGCAGGCTTGCTTGCCTCCCTCTCTCCTCTGCCCAGAACAGTCTTTGCCTTCTTTCTAGGACTGGCAAAGTCTGGGCTGCTGCCTCTCAACAGCTGCTTGCAGCTGTGGGACTCAAGCGTGGTTGGCTCTGGACGCACTCGCAGCCATCTGGTGCTGACTCCTGCATCCATGCCAAGCTCTGAGTTTGTGCTTCACTGTTCAGTGGGCTGCCCTAGCCAGAGCCAGCTCTGGGCTGGGATACCCAGCCCTTGCTGAGGCAGGCAGGACCTGCTGGAAGATGGGCAGCTGCCTGAAACAGGGGTTGAGCTGTGATTTGCCACGTGTTTTCTCTTTCCAGAGGTGAGCAGTCTCTCCTGGCTGCTCTGCTCAGGGAAATACCTGGTGGCCCGTGGACATGGCAAGATCTGGGAAAGAGGAGTGTTGTCCTTCAGTGCCTATCCCCTTCCCCCAGCATAGCACAAGCTGCTTGTTGTTCTAACTGCCCCCTGAGCCACTAATCCCGCTCCTCTGCTCTCGCTGCCTTCATGGGGGAGGCCTTGCCCTCAGCTTGAGCCAATGCCACCCTTGCACCGCCACTGCTGGGAGCTCTGCTCCCAGGGGGCAGTGGGAAGTTTCCTTCACTCCTCTCTTTCGATGTCTGGACATACAGAAGGGTTAAGAAACCATGAAGGGTTTGGCATTGCCCTGTTCTCAGACTCCTGTTACAGCAAAAAGGGCTTCAGCTGCTTCTGCAGCTGGCTGAGCCCTGAGCAGGGCAGATCATCTGTGCTGGCACTAAACTGTGTTCCTGGGTGCTGTAGTCCATGGAGCCCATCTTCCTCAGCTTCTGAGCTAGTCAGCTGCGTGCTCACCAGTCTGTCTGTGCCAGGAGCTGAAGCCCCACATGCAGCTTGACTGTTCCCCTGTAGACAGGGGCTCCCCTCAAGCTCTTTGCCCCCATGTAGCTCTCCCATGAGCAGACCAGGGGGACCTGGACCTTCCCTGCCAGAGGGCAGCTGTAGGCTGGGTTGTGTGACTGTGCTCACCCTCTGCTTGCTGTGCTCCTCTCTTCCCTCCTCCCTCTCCTTGCCCTTCTGACTTCAGGACTGTTGTGGGAACTGCAGCGACAGCGAGGAAGAGCCCACCCGGCTGTAGAGCACAGCTTGTTCTCCAGCCCCTGGGACCCCTCTGCCTCTGCCCAGCAGAACAACAGCCCAGCCTGAAGGACAAGGTAGCAGCGGCCCCGCAAGGTGGATTTGTTTACAGCTCTATACATCCATATTTGAAGACTCTGGATGGCTCCAGGGCTGGCAGCAGCACATGTGCCTCTGATCGTGGGGAAGCCCTCATCCCTGAGGCAGACCTGGATGCTTCTGAATCTGCCACTTGGGATTGTGCTGCTGCGGCTCCCCTCCCGGACCCAGGGTGGGAGGGAGGGATTGGGCTGAGGCCAGGCTGGAGCAGCTCTGCTCACACATTCCATGGTGCCGGAGCAGCACTGCGGGTTTGGTGTATATTTATGTATGTTGGTCTGTACATATCACATGTCAGTTTTTAATCTATAGGTGGGGGCCTGCACTGTCCCCACCCTGTCACAGGCACAAATGTCCTCCTATGGGGGGAGCGACGGTCCCAGCTTTGTTACCAGGGAGTCCTAGGCAGAGGCCTTCTGTGCCTTGAGGTGTCTAAAGCATCTTTCCTGGACCTTTCTGGCCATGCTGAGGCGTCCCTGGCTCCAGCGGAGTCCATTGCTCAGCCCTGAGGCACAGGAAACTGCTGTGCCAAAGCGTCTACCATTGCATCCTGGCAGCAGAGCGTCACTGCCTCATCCTTGCTTCCCTGTCTGCCGGAGCCTGCTTCCTCCTTCCTCGTCTCACACATGCTGCCAGCTCTGGTGAGCTGATCCTGGTCTCTTCTCCAGACTGCGACAGCAGGACACAACC